ATGGACTCCCTGTACTCAGTGTGTGGTTCCTGGCCCAGACTCTCAGCAAGAAGGGAGAGTTTGGGGCAGGTTCTCTGGGGGTGAATATGAGAGCAAACCCTGCCCCACCCCACCCTGTTTGGCAGTGTGGACACCCTGACCGTGGAACTGTGGTTCTGATGTGACCTGGGCCACGCCCAGCACATACCTGGAGCCCACAGAACTCCCCACATGTAATGAGCATGCGGGCACATGCCCAACCCCCTGGGGTGTGCCTGGGGCCTCCCGTGACCATAAACATGACGCACCTCATCAGAATCTCTTCTCCCCTCACTCATAGGAGGGGTGTGGATGGAGCAGGTGGTTCCAAGAGGGGTATAATTTCATGGGGACTAACTCTGTGTTTACGTGCCAGCCACAAACATTGCTCCCTGCTACCCTAGTTGGGGCCTGATGTCCCCCCATTCAGGCTGTCCAAGAGCCCCTGCCTTGTTGCCCCTGATGTGGTGGAGGGAGGCAGTGACTTCGTTGCTCAATGGATGCTTCTTGATAAACTCTGATATTGGGCAGGACACTGGACACGGGAGGAAGGGAGGCAGAGAGTCCTGAGCACTCTTGGAGCGCAGCAGGAATGGGGGTCACAGGGGAGTGAAGGACACATGATATGAGCAGCTAGAAGTCAAGGGAAAGACGGTGCCAGGAGGAAGGGCTTCAGCACACCTCATTCCCCAGACCTCTCTAAGACCAGTGCTGTCCAATAGGAAGAGACGGCAAGCCACAGGTATGGAAAGATGCAGGTGAAATTAATTTTAATCGTATAGTTTATTTAATCCAAGATATCACCATTCCCTATGGAATCAATATAAAAAGTATATATATATTTGGTCATGCTAAGCCATGGAAACCCAGTGTGCATTTTATACCTACAGTGCATCTCAATTCAGACAGGCCATGTTCAAGTGCTCTAAAGGAAACCATGACTGGTGAACCCCATGCAGGGCTCTAAATCTGGCTCATGCTGTCCCTTCGGCTTGGATCATCTCTCCAGCATAGCCAAGCCTACTTCACAAGGCTGGTCCAGGAAGCTCCAGCCAGGCGAGCTCGCTCCTGTCTCAGAAACACTGGATCCTCTACCTATCGGATGACGTCACATAGTGTTCTGTCCGGGTGCGAGGGCCATATCTACGGGGTCAGTGTCTCTGCAGAGGGGGTCTCCTGCAGGACCTCACCAACCCACGCCTCCTCTGCAGGGTCTTTTTTATGCTCTGCACAGAAAAGGTGCTGGAGAAATGTGTGCTGGAATGAAATGAGGGAATGTTTGCATATTTTATGAGGTTTGCTTAGGACGGTTCCCTTGTTCACATAAGAAAGCCAAGACAGGAGCCGAGGGGACTGGTGGCGGTGGGGGAAAGAGAGTCTCTTCGATAAATGGCGTTGGGGAAACTGGATGGCCACGTGCAGAAGAATGAAACTGGACCACTTTCTTACACCACCCACAAAAATAAACTCAAAATGGATTACAGACTTAAATGTCAGACCTGAAGCCATAAAACTTCTAAAAGGAAACACAAGCAGTAATTTCTCTGAAATCAGCCGTAAAAACACTTTTCTAGATCTGTCTCCTCAGGCAAGGGAAACAAAAGCAAAATTAAACTATTGGAACTACACCTACTTCTGCACAGCAAAGGAAACCATCAACAAAGTGACAAGGCAACCTACGGAATGGGAGAAGATATTTGTAAATGACATATCCGAAAAGGGGTTAATCTTCAAAATGTATAAAGAACTTACACAACTCAACACAAAAAGAACAAATAATCCAATTAAAAGATGGGCAGAGGACCTGAATAGGTATTTTTCCAAAGAAGACAGACAGATGGGCAACAGGTACATGAGAAGATGCTCAACATCACTCATCGTCAGGGAAATGCAAATCAAAACCACAATGAGATAGCACCTCACACCTGTCAGAATGGCTAGAATCAAAACCACAGGAAATAACAAGTGTTGGAGAGGATATGGAGAAAAGGGGGCCCTTGTGCCCTGCTGGTGGGGATGCGAATTGGTACAGCCACTGTGGAAAACAGTATGGAGGTTCCTCAAAAGATTAAAAGTAGAATTACCATATGATCCAGTAATTGTACTACTGGAGATATATCCCAAAGAAAATGAAAACACTAATTTGGAAAGATATATGAACAACTGTTTATAGCAGCATTATTTATAATAGCCAAGATATGGAAGGAACCCAATTGTCCACTGACTGATGATGAATGGATAAAGAAGATGTTATATATATATATTCCAATATTATATAATATATAATATTCCATATATATATGGAATATTACTCAGCCATAAAAAGAATGGAATCTTGCCATTTGCAACAACATGGATGGAGCTAGGGAGTATAACGCTAAGTGAAACAAGTCAGAGAAAGACAGATACTATGTGATTTCACTCATATGTGGAATTTAAGAAACAAAAAAGAAACAAAGAAAAAAAGAGACAGACAAAAAAACAGACTCTTAAATACAGAGAACAAAGTGGTGGTTGCCAGAGGGGAGCGGTGGGCAGGGGCTGGGTGAAATAGAGGGCATCAAGAGTACACTTGTCAGATGAGCACTGAGTAATGCACAGAATTGTTGAACCACTATATTATACACCTGAAACTAATACCACACTGTATGTTAATTATACTTCAATAAAAAAATAAAATTAAAATTTACCACTCCCCCCAAAAAAAGAAAGAGTCAAGATAGGAGCTGGGTCGGTGGCGGCAGTGGGCCTGGCAGTGGCTTCCCCGAAGCCGTATTTTGTATGTATGAGGTTTTCTGGGCATAGCTTTTTCTCCTTAGTAAGTTGCCATTCATCCCCATAAAAGAGGAACAGTTCTATGAATATTTTTAAAAACCCCAAATGCATCAAATCCATTTGGAGGGAACATATTGCATTGTGAATCTACTATCAATTTTACCGAAACGTTATTTTCTGGGCACCATTAGATGAACCAGGCTATAATCAGAAAAAAAGGAAAATTTTGTTGGGAAATGAGATTAAGCCAGAGAAAAATCCAATAGTTTAAAGCTGGAGCCACATTACCTAGGCTCCTCTGAGGGTTCAAGTTCCCGTCGTTAGCCCACAGGTCCCCTCTCCAGTGGGATCTAAGAGGAGAGCCGTCTGCCTGCCCTCCCCTCCCATTGCCTCTTTCCTCATTGGATTAATCCCCTCACTGCACGCACCAGCCCATCACAAGTACAAGGGAGGGAGTGCCAACCACAGATGTCATCCATGCCAGGCCTGTGCTGTCCATGCCCCCCATGCTCAAAGGCTTCAATCCTCAAAACAACCCTAAGCAGCAGGCACTGCTCACTTCGATGGGAGGCCGGAGGCTCAGAGAGGTGGTATCACTGGCCCAGGGTCACACTGCAGGAAGAAGTGCAGCTGTGGTTTGAACCCAAGTGGGCACGTTCCAGAGCCCATGCTGGTCACCGCCCTGTCGCCCCACCCGTGGAGAGCAACAGAAACCCGCTTGTCTCTGCCTGGGTTTCGTGTCCCTTGGAAAACCTGATCCATGCAAGCTCCGGGATCCTGGCTGGATGTGGCGCATCTAGACCAAGGGTTCTCACCCAGGGGTGATGCTGATCCCCAGGGCAGTGTCTGATGACATTTCTAGTTGTGAACACTGGGGAGCAGGAGCGGGGTAGAGGCGAGTCGTGGGTAGAAGACACAGTGCTGCTAACAGCCTGCAATGCACAGAGCAGCCCCCCCTGAAAGGGGATCCCACGCAAGATGTCAGTAGTGGGGAGGGGAGGTCTAGTCGACGGTTCTAGAAGGAAGAACTGACGGCTCTTGCTCTGCCCAAGTCAGACCTACCCAGAGACCTGCAGACTGTCCCAGGTCCTACATGCAAAGCGAGATTTCCCCCAGAGAAGGCGGCTGTGAAGAGACAGGGGAAGACACTCCAAGAGAAGAAAAGATGGGGGCTGCCATGGGGGAGTAGGGCCCCTAGGAGGAGGGGACAGATGTCCTCCTGGGCCAAAGAAAACGGATGGTACTACAGGGAACCAGATGTCAGCTCAGGATAAGGATGCACGAGAGGAACAGGGAGACCTTGCGGTGGACTCCTCCTCCCCAGAGCATGCAAGCCCACCCTAGGAGATAGCCAGGCAGGGGGTCCCTTCTGCCTGCCAGCTGAGGACACCACGGGATGCTGGGATGCTGGGCTGTGTCCTCTTTCAATCTCTCTCTCTCTCACAGACACACACACACACACACACACACACACACACACACTGCACAGATCCTACTTCCCAGGCTCAACATCCGCTTCCTAATCAAACATCAAAGTCCCTTTTTATCGTCAACTTCCTAAACAGTGAAGCCATTCTGGATACAGAGTTGTGGTTTCTTTTTCCCCTCCAGTGTGCAAAACTGATGGGATGATGCTTTTTGCCTGGCTGAAGCACAAGAGAAAAATCCTGCAGCTAGAGCAGGTTGGCTTTTGGAACGCACGGCCCCGCGGCCAGCAAGCTGCACCTCGGGGCACAGGCGGTGGCGGATGGGAGCGAAGATGGCCAGAGCGGCGGGACAGGCAGGCCTACCTGGCTGGGCATGGGGTGAGCTCCCTGCCCCCTGGGCCGATGGCACATGGCGCCTGCTGTTGACCAGGGTGTCCAGGCAGAGGACGCCTGGGGAGCGGGGCCACACCGGGCCCAGTGGGCAGTAGGAACCCAACCAGGGCAAGGTGTTTCCTCTGTCCATTCTCCCCTTTCCTTTCCTTTTGGGGCTCTTGGGGCTACAGGGTTAGACGATGTGATTTGGGAATCAAGGGGAGTCTTTCCCATCCCTTCTGGTTCTGAAGGCTGCATGCGCCCTCCTTCTCACCAAACCTGTGAAGTAAACTGTCGCCCCAACACCCCCTCTGGAAACATGTGTTCAAGAGAGAGGCCGGTGACTGCTCCAGGTCACGTGGGCCCTGCTTGGCCCTCCAAAGCCCCAGTCCGGCCGGCGAGGCTCACCTGGTGATCACGTAGGGCGCGAAGCATACGAGGAAGGTCCCTATGAAGGTGCTGATCTTCTTGGTGGCACGCTGCCGCCTCCTTCTCTGCTCCTCCAAGCAGCGTTCCCGCACACTGCGCATGAGAGAGGGGAGGATGACTTGCTATTAATGAACACAGGCAGGGCCTTGAGGGCAGGGGCTCCGGGAGGGGCCAGAGAGACCTGAGGTCAAGTCCCGGCCATAGGCGTGTGAGACCTGGGACACGTGCGTGACATTGCTAAGCCTCAGGGTCATCATCTGTGAAATGTGCATAGTAATATAATAAAATGCCACCAAGGGCTCTTTGGAAAATTAAATGCAAAAAGCACACAGATGCACGGAATGCGTTCAATGCGTAAAGCACATAAAGCAATTAACACAAGGCCCAAGTGCAAGTAAATATAAATTCTCATTATTACTACTCATGAAGTTCACTGATCACCTACTGCATGCCAGCACCAGAGTCTACATTCTCTGAGTAGTATCTCTAATTCTTGTCTTTACTGATATTCATGCTGCCAGGTGTGCTCGACCTGCCACGTGGGTTTCACCCGCCCTGTTTTACAGTGAAGAGTATGAGCTCAGTGAAGCCAAATGGTTTGCCCAGCTGGTAAATGGAGACAGGATTTGAACCCTTGTCTGTTTCTCAAAGCTGGTCCTTTCTACCTGGGCTGACCTGGACTCTTCCTTTCCTCCACGCCTTCAGTCCTGGATCTTCCATCCCAAAGCCTCAGCCCTGCCTGCAGCTATAGACACTGCCTTAGGGGGTCACAGGGAGGAGTCACTTGGTTCCTTCAGGGACCAAGCTCAGTGAAGCTAAGAGAATGTTAAGTCTCTGGGAAATCAGGGACACAGCTTAGAGGATGGAATCAGGAGCTTGCTGCGTATGCTTCTAACCACAGCCCGGTCCTGACTCCACCAGCTCCAGGGACTTTCGAGAACTGACATCTCACGCCAACTGAGAGAAGTGGTTCATGCAACCCATTTCCTGTAGGCACAGGGTAATTCATGAGCACCAGCGAGCTGTCCGTTACCACCGTCAGAGAGCCCGAAGGGCCAGTCCAGCCGTAAGGTCTCACATGCTCCATTCCATGGGATTCCAGGTGGGCAGGTGTTTCTACTATTTATTTATTTATTTTTTTAAGATTTTAACTATTTGAGAGAGAGAGAGTGAGCATGAGCGGGCCGGGGGGCAGTCAGAGGGAGAGGGAGAAGCAGACTCCCCGCTGAGCAGGGAGCCCGATGCGGGGCTCAACCCCAGGACCCTGAGATCATGACCTGAGCCGAAAGCAGGCACTTAACCGACTGAGCCACCCAGGCACCCCATCTACTGTATATTTTTAAAATAAATCACATTATTCCAAAAATGCACAAGGAGGAAGACTGCAGACAGAGTTGCGCAGGATGTGGAGATGATATGGCCGATAATATAGGCCCTTCCTATAGAGTCCTGGCTCCAGAATTAGCCTAGTCTGTTCAAGGAAAGCAAGGGGCAGAGGGAATGTGCATGAGCCAGGTTCACAAGCAGCATGAATGGCAGGGCGACCTCCCCTTCCTTCCACAAGGACTACTGTTTTAACACTGAATTAAAACAGGCCCCTGAAATTCTTGCAGGACTTTCTCCCCTTGCCTTGGAAGGTAGAGTTGGGAACTGGAGTTCGGTTTTGTACAAACAGGTTTCACACTGGCTGAAAAAGTATTACTATTAAATCACATTACTAATTAATTTATAATAACTAATATTAATAAAAACCCACATTTCTTGAGGCTTTAACCCGTCCCATTTTAGACACTTTGATGGAGATTCATGTGCATTAGTTTATTGATGCTCACAATGTCTCTCTCTATACATTGAGGACTGATACAACTATAATCTTTTTTTTTCAAATAAGCAGATGAGGCACAGAGGGGTTAAGTAACTTGCTCAAGATCACACAGCTGGTGAGTAGCGGTGATAGGATGACCAACTTGTCCTGGGTAATCAGCACTGTCCTGGTTTTAGCACAGAAAGTCACGCATCCTGGATGCTTTGCATGGGACTGGCCCAGTTTTAAAATGGAAAACCTGCCTCCACCCAGAGCAATCCAGGATGGTCTGTTGCCCCAGGTGGTAATGGGATCTGAACCCAGGCCATCTGACTTCGGAGGCTTGAGTGTCATCTCCCAACGAGTGGGAGGGTCTTCACCAACCCCTTGGGAGGCACCAGGGCATCATCTTATCCAGAAAATCTGAAGAATACAGCCAGTGGGGGAGGAGGACTGGGGGACTTTGTCTGAGGTCACCCAGCAAGAGTCAGTCTTAATCTCCTGGCTCCCCATTTATACTTGGGTCTCTGCAGAGTCTTCTACCAACATCCTCTGGCTCTTGTAACATGTGCACGATATGGGTGGGCATGGAGAGAAGGCACAGGTTCCCACCCAGGAAGTCTGGGTGCCATGAGGTAACCGATTCATCTTGGTCTGCCCAAGATTGTCCTGGTTTTAAAACCCAAAGTCCTGCATCCTCAGAGAGCCCCGTCAGTACTCGGCAAACCAGGACAATGGTCACCCTAGGGCATGTGTGTTTGGTATATTCTCCATAACACAGGCCCGTTTGTTTTAATATTGAAATATTTCCCCCCCAAACGTTCATGTAATTGACTTGAGAATTGCTGGAGATTTGGGACATGAGCTGGGTATCCTGAGCCATCATGGTACACTCAGCCCCTGAGAAGCATAAGGCATTCTAGGTATCTCCTAAAAAATGAGCACCACATCAAGGGTACCCCAAAGAAACTGATGGGAGGCACTGGGGCTGGGCCCTCCTCCCATCTGTGACCCTGACGATGTTGTCCATTTCTCAGATGCTTCAGAATAACCCCAATGAATGAAGGAGCTCTGAGTGAGATGTCCTAGTCCCAGCTCTGCCCTCATTGCTGTGTGGCCTTGGGGAAGTCACTAAACCTCTCTGAATCTGGTTCCTCATTTATCCAAGGGGAATTTCATAATAGCTATAACTAGAGCTACCATTTATCAGGCACAGAAATGACTCAGCAGCTAGCAAGCTCTTGAGGAGTGAAGAGCTTCCTCCGGCACCCCCAGGAGGGACTGAACTCCCTGCTGAGGGGCTGAGGACCCAGTTGTCTCCCCTTTCCCGGCTGCGCCAGATAGTCCTTCCTTAAAGACATGAGGAATACTTAAAAGCAGATAAGCAGATAAGCTTTTACCTCCAAGTAAAAGCTTCGGAGGTCTTTGGGAAGAAAACCAGACACATTTCAGTGACCTGAAAGGAATAAAATGGACACTGTATAGACTGGAATGATCAACGTCACTACTGTACACGGTCAAAATCTGTGGGGAATAATTCTCTCTGTTCCTGCAAAGCTTTGAATAGCAGGAAGCATTGTATGGACAAGTTACTTCTGTGGGTGCCCGCAGTTCAAAGCTCAACATTGACATCCAGAAAACACCTAATCCGTCTATGTGGTATGAAGGGATGAGCCCTTAAAAAATCTCTTAGAAAATTAAGTCTCAATCATCTTTTTAAGTGACCTCCTCAAAAGAGATGATGGTAGAATCCTGTTCTGAAACCGATTTTTTTTAAGTGAGCCTTAAACATCCTGAGCCGATTGGACAAAGCAAGACCATGAAAGCTTCCACTAACTTGGAGTCCTTTCTCGTTAATAGTGTGGTAGTAAACATGTGGCCCCAGAGCCCCGATGTCTGGGTTCAAATCCAGGCTTTGCCACTTAATTGCTGTGTGGCTTTAGGCAAGTTACAAACTTCTCTGTTCATCAGCCTCCTCATCTCTAAAACGACAGTTCTAAGAGTACCTATCTCCTAGGGTCTTATTGAGATTAACATCCAAAAAGTACCTAGGACAGTGTCTGACTCAGTAAGCACTCAATAAACGCTAACCATGATTATTATCTATTTAATATGTTTACTGAACGATTACCATGTTCCAGCACTATCTTGAGCTCCAAAACCACAGGGCTCCCTCCCACTATAAAAGTCTTCTTTCTGCCCTGTGCATGTATGAGAGACAGACAGACAGAAAGACAGAAGGAGCAGCAACCAGGGGCCATGCCAGAGGAAGGAGGTCTGAGCTGACTCCTGACTCTCGTGCTGGCTCTGTGACCCTCTCTGGCCTCCCGGAACCCAGTGGATACTGTCTTAATGACCCTCGGCATGCCGCATGTGTCCGAGGTGGATGCATGTCTGGGTTAGCATCCACACGGGCCTAGGCATGTCTCTGCTCTGAGACGGACTGGCTAGACCCTACAGTCACACAGTCATGTCTAGTATGGGAAACCCCCTCATCCACCTAACCCAGCTCACAGATGGAGAAAATGAGGCTCAGAGAAGAGAGGAACTTGCCCCCCTCCCCCAGAGAGTGAGATGCTGGCGGAGCTAGCACCCAGGTACTGACTCCCGGTCTGGCGCTCCTGGTCAGGAACCACACGGCTGCTTCCCCGAACTCCTGCAAGAGGACGGATCCATCTTCCCTGCCCAGAGGCCCCCCTCTCCGATTTCCAGGTAAGGCCAGGGGGATGGCAGGAGAAGGAGGACAGGGCAGCTGTGCAACCCTCTTGCTTATCATTATTGTGAAGCACAGGATGAGAGCAGCTCGCCTGCGCCCAGAACAACAGAATAAAATCACTCTGCACTTGCTCTCATTTTTTTCCCCCACAACAGCTTTGCAAAACTGAGCTTCTTGACATCTTGTAGCCCTGTGAGCTGTTATTTTATTTATTTGAAGATGAGGACCCAGAGGGCCAGCCGGGTTTACGCCATGCCCAGGGTCCCACAATGAATTTAGGACAGAACCAGGGAACTGGTGTTCCTGACTCCGGGATCTGGGGTGTTTCCCCAGATCCCACTGCCCTCCATAGGATCACAGAGCAATAAGCAAGCTGCGTCTAGCCACAGGAATGCATTCTCCAGATAGTTCTGGGCACAGGGGTAGCAGCTGGAGTCCTCAGACTTGTAGGCTGACTCTGCAGTGCAGAGGGTAAGGGGCCCCAAATTCCCCTGGCCAGCAACATCCTCCCTAAGTACAAGCAAGTGCACCAGCGTGGGGCTTCCCGAGAACTGCCATAGGACACAGCTTTCTTGTGACAAAGAGATGGGCTTTCTGGCATCGTGACATGTGGGGCCAAAGAGATGGTCCCCAGTACGCGTCAATAAATGGCAGAATGAACAGAGAAGGCCAGGAATATCTGAAGTGAATAAATGAGGCAATCACAGCCAAAATCTTCCAGTCCCTGACACCACCATGCCCAACACAATGGTCTGGGCCCTCACTGGTCTCCAGGTGACCGCAATCGGTCCTGAACGCATGCTCCAAGTACTCCCAGGGCAATCCAGATTTGTTTTCTGGCTTTTAACGAGAACAAAACAAAAGGCAAGGGAACAGGCTGACCGATGGTGGAGCAGACCTTGAGTTTGGGGTCAGGATGCTAGTGTGAAAAGTCATGTCCTCAGATCTCACAAGAGGGGACCTTATCCTGGGTCCTGGACGGTGAGGGGGACTACGCCCCTCCCCATGAAATGAAGACTTCATGTGCCCACCCAGAGCCCACATCATCCATTCTAGATCAAGTTCCAAGGACCCAGAACCCAGAATTCCCTGCCCAGATGCCCCGATTCTACTTCCAGAACGTGAGCAGGCACCCTCCCCAGGCCCATCCTCCCGAGGGCGGACAATGCCACAGGTGTGCTCGCTTGGCGCCTGAGTAATGGAGGCTCCTCGTGGTGCTGGGTAGAGCCAGGGGTGGGGAGGAGAGGCAGGGGCCGTGTGCCTGGAGCCAGCTCAGCTCTCCCCACCATGGACGAGGCTGAACTTCAAGGAGCCCGAGCATTCTAAATTTGAACCCAGCCTTGCAGAGTGGTATAAATGTATACTTGTCAAGGTAGGAGGATAGAACATATTTCATTTAACAGTTTGTAAGCTTAATTTAGAACTTCTAAATATTTATATAGATGGTTTATGAGCCTCTATTTGCACTTTTGTCCCATCTATAAATCTTAGGGTCAGAACCAGGCACAAATTTTGGCTTGAAACATCCTAGACCTGTTAAATTAGGCAAGTGCACTTGCCCTTCTTCCCTGGGTCTCCCAGTTTCCTCACCTGTAAAATCAAGGGCACAGTGAGGTTATCTCCATGGGCCCTTCCATTTTCTATGCCACAGCTCGGACGCCCTCCAGGGTGGACCCTTTAGCCAACCCTCTGTAGACCCTGATCACAAGGATGAGTGTGCTTCACCATCCCGTGGAGAAGTCCCCGACCCATCCTGGTGAGTGGCGGCCCTCAGCTGGACTGGGGGACCAGGGATGTTACCGTCGGTGCCCCGGCACCCCACCTTTGTCCCATGTCAGGTGAAAGCCCACAACTCTCAGCACCAGGGAGAGGACCCACCATCCCTCGTCCGGAGCTGTGGTTTGGAAGAACAGAACCAAGCAAATGGAGCAATCGGAGGACCAGGTGGGTAATAAATATTAGGAATGCTTAATTGCTTTATAAATGTCGCAACTTGAAAAACCACCACAGGAAGACAGGAGTGGGGAACGTCTCTCAGGATAGATTTAATTTAAACCAGAGGGTCTTTTGGCATTGTTGAAACCAAGGAGTCTAGACTGCCACTCACGGGGTTAAACACTCTGTGGGAAGAGCAGGCCCCAGCAGGGAGCTTTCTGACAAACGTCACCCTGGGCCTCAGGGAACTCAAAAACGGGTCCCTCCCAATTAAGTCTCAGGAGGCCGTTAGTGTGGTGGCTGTTATGGAAAACTTCCAGCGAGCAATGACTCCACCTGCTGCCCTGGCTGTCCAGATAAGGAAGTCTGGCTTCTGCTGATGCCCAGGTGCCCCTGGCTGTCAACACCACACCAGCCCAGGAGGCTTGGCTGATCTTTCTGGAGCCTTCGTGCCTAGGGCTTGGAGGTTCGAGGGGCAGCTTTCTCCGTCAGACCGAGCTAGCTCTGCAGTTTCTCCTTTACAGAGAGGAAGAGTTTAGAGCTGCCAGGAAAGAAGGCTGTGGATCAGCTGCGAGGAAGCTGGTGCCCCTTGTGTGTGCCCATCACCCACCCTCTTGCTCTGGGGACCTGACTCCACACAGAAGGCGGGTGGGGTTCACTGAAGGAACAGTGCCATCACATCTGCTTGCTACGCCGTACCTCAGGCTGGCCCTCGGCCAGGGGGGCCTGTCTGAACTGGCCGAGGGCCATCCCTGCCCCAGGAGCCCTTCCTCTACCCCGGTGCAGACTAGCGCTATCCCTTGGTCCCACACGGCCCCATGGCACTGCGAGTCGGGGCTCTTGAAAGCATCCCGGGGCTTCGAAGGGGTCAAGGTTCCCCCAGAGGGGACCAGAGGGAGCATGCTGGCCTGGAGTCAGTGACAGGTTTGCAAGAGTGGAGATGGCCTTATATCCCAAACGGGCTAAAAAGGAGCCACGGCCCCTCCTGTTCTGGAACGTGGAAAGGCAGCAGGGATGGGACTTGCACTGGTCTGAATAAGAACGGATTCCTCTCCTGGTTCAACGCCTTCTCTGCTTAGACTCATGGTGGGAGGGCCCGTGATAGGAATCGTTCTAGTCCCGGTTGTTCAACAACATTCCCTCAGCTTCTAAAACAGCCCCAGTCAAGTCCTGGGGATGCACCTTCTAAAGTGAGGTCCTCACGTCCCGGGTGATGGCAAAGGGGAACAGTTCTGCAATTGCGGCTGCGGAGTATTTCCGAAAGCGACACTGAACCGTCAACAGATGCGGGCAGTGAGTCAGCCGTGTCTTTGTAGTCGGTGTGCATACATGTCCCCTGTGACATGTGCACATGTGGAGACCCGTCTGTTAGACGTGCAGTCTACACACGAACACGTGCGATTGTGTGCGTGCGGCTCACACGTGTGCACACGTGGGTTCATGGGCCCTGGTGTATTTGTGCTATTGGGCATTCACGTGTAAACACTGTACATGATTCCGTGGGGAAGACTCTGTGGCTGGAAGCCTTGGCCCGGCACGGAATGAGGAGGGGCCGTTCTGGGACGAAACAGTGGACACACGCGTGCATGCCTTTGCGTGTGCAGACACAGTGAAGTTTAAGGGCTCTTCTTTCTATTGCTCATGGGCAGAAACAACCCACACTGAAGGAACCCTTGCTCAGACTGACACGTCCAGTCTTCCGCCTCAGCCACGAGCTTGCTTCTCCTTGGGTGGAGAGGGGCATCCACACCATAAGGACCCAGCTCCCTCACTGCCCCCAGCCACCCCCCTGAGGAGTTCTCTGTCTAGCTCACTTTCTGCGCCATCCTGGGCGACAGAGGGGAAGGCTGCCCTTCCCTGGGGTGATGAGATCTAAAACGGCAGAGTCCTCAGAGACACCACCAGCTGTTTCCTTCCTTGGGTTCCTATTCCCATAAGGAAAACCAAGGTGAGCTCAGAACACCTCAGCTAAGAGTTTCCTCCTTCCTTCCCCGAGATGCTCCAGGGGATGGCAGGAGTTCCTAGGGAGTGGCTGCACCTGAAATGCCCACCCCGACCTGCCTTTCTGAGACAGTGGCCCGGTGAGGGTGCAGGTGGTGTGGGTGGGTTTTTCCCAGGAGCCTCGTGGGTGACACTCCCCCTCTGCGGGTGCCTCCGGCCTCCAAGTCTGGGAGACGCAAGGCAGTGCCGTTTGGAAGAGCAGGGGAAGCCCCCCCCCAGTTCCCTCAAGAGCCCTTCAGATGCTCCTTTAAGGATCTACAGAGGAAGGTACAGCCCAAGGACTCTCTCACACACACAAGATCAGGAGACAGAGGCAGTGCCAGACACAGAGAAAGGAAAGACCCAGAAAAGCAGCACGTTCCCACAAGAGCTCTCGAGGGGCTCCCCAAGCATCTAAGCCACACTCTCAGGGCCTGATTAGAACCCTTTAAAGGACTCAAGCAGTGAGCAGAGATCACTGCCTTCTCGTGTGCTGTTTAAAGTGAAATCTACAAACACATCAAGGAAGTATCAGAAGTCCAACAAAGTTCTGAGTCTGCTTTCTACCCCGAGGCCTCAAAAAACGTACATAATGGTTCACCCACGTTTTTGGTGGTTTGCTTTGTGGATGCTCTAAGCACCCCCGGCAGACTGGTCCCTCCCCCCGCCTGAGTTTTCAGAAGAAAGAATGGAGGCTCGGTGGCATAGGGGCCTGCTCGAGGCCACAAGCTGGGGCGTGGGGGGGACACAAGGACCCCCTTCCTCCCGCCAAGAGCCCTCCCCAAACTGAGCCCCTCCACGGCCCTGCCCCCGCCCCCCGGCCCCCGCTCACCTGGGGTGGATGTCGACGAGCAACACGAGCGTCTGCATGGTGATCACGTCGATGCGCTTGCAGTGGAAGCGAGCCACCTTGAGCACCTTGAGGTACGTGCAGCAGAGCACGACGAAGGACAGCAGGAAGCTGAGCGCGTGGAAGGCGCCCGTGAAGACGGCGAAGCGCAGGCGCTCGTCCGGCCGCCGGCTGCACAGCGTGCACGACGCGTACAGCTGGTGGAAGCCGAGCCAGGACAGGGCGAGCGCGGCGGCGGGGAAGGCGAGCGCGTGCAGCCACGTGTAGGCCACCATGAGCGCGGCGTCGCGGAGGCGCATCTTGGCGCGGTAGCTCAGCGGGAAGACCACGGCCACCCAGCGGTCGATGCTGAGCGCGGCCATGCTGAGCATGGAGTTGGTGGCCAGGAAGGTGTCGAGGAAGGCGGCCAGGCGGCACAGGCGGTCCCCGGCGGGCTGCCGCTGCGCCACGACGCCGGCCAGCGTGAGCGGCATGTTGAGCACGGTGCACAGCAGGTTGCCGCACGTGAGGTTGAGGGTGAAGAGCGCCGGCGCCTGGCGGCGGATGTCGGCGCTGTGCAGGAGGCAGAGCAGCACCAGCGCGTTGGACAGCAGCGAGACGCCCATCGTGCCCACCAGCAGCCCCGCCAGGCCCGCGTCCCACGAGTTCATGGTGCGCGCCCGCCGCGGCGCTCAGGGCCCGCCACCCGGCGCCGCCACGGCGCCCCCGCCGCCGCCGCCGCCGCCCCGCGCCCCCCCGGGCCCCGCCGCCATGGCCCCCCGCGCCCGCGCCCCGGAGCTGGCTGCCCGCCGCCCGCCGCGGCCCTCACCCCATCGCTCTACCCGCGGTCTGCCTCCGCGGCGCGCACGCCCGCCGGCTCCCCGGCTCTCTCGTCCTGCCCTCTCCCCGCTCGCTCTCCCTTTCTGCTCTCCCCTCCACTTTCGCGCTGCCTCCCGCCTGCTCCCTCTCCCGCTCTCTCCTGGCTGCGCTTCGCTTCCCTCTCTCCCACTGCTGTTCTCTCCGTCTGTCTCTCCCACCCCCAATTTTCTCCTCCCCTCCGGTTCCTCCCCTCCTCTTCTCTCCCTCTCTGGAATCGGGCTGCTTCTATTACAGAAATCCCCGCTGATGCGCACACGCGCTCTCACACACTGAGAGAACCGGCCCTGAAGGCTCCGGTGCAGGGTGATTGGCTCCTTGTCGCTCCCCCGCCCCTCCAGCCCTCCCCTCTGTGTGTCCAAGACAGGCTGAGTCAAGGAAGTCTGTCTGAGAAAAGGGACGGATGCCTGGGCACCTTCACGCCTCAGTGCCATCTGTCCCAGCCTGAGCACCAGCCCCGCCAGACCTTGACATGGAGGTCCTACCCACCTGTGCCCGCCGGAGCTGCCCAGGGCTGATGTGCTCCTCCCTCTCCAGGCTGAGCTGGGGGCACTCAGGGAGGCTCCTTTGGCTCCACATTTCTCCATCCTGCATGGCCAAGGGTCTGGCTCCAGGGCACCTGCGGTGCTCCTGGGGGTGCTCCGTTTGCCAGGTCCTCTTCCCCTCACCTTTCAGCCACAGCTTCTCAAGTCCGCTGGGGGCATGCTGCAACTCACTGTGACATCCTCTGGGCATCCCCCTCCGCCAGGAGAGGACTTTGTCTGACCACGAGCCCTCACAGTTGGACCAGCCTGTCTGTCCACAGTCAGCCTCAGCAGAGCCGTGGTGGGGCTCAGCATTCCTGGCCTGAGTTCCAGCTGCTGCCATCAGTCAGCCACACACACCACCTGCCCTGGGTCTGGTGAGACAGCAAGTTCCAGTTTATGAAGGACCTGGATGACATAATGTGCCGAAGCTCATTAGAGAAAGGGGAAGATGGTGGGTGGCCTGGCTTGGTGGCAGCCTCAGGGACTCTGGGCATGCAAGGTGTAAGCCTAGCCTCAGGAAAGTGTGCAGAGTCGGTGGCCCTTCTGTCCTTTTACCAAGACCCTGTGGGGAAGGTGTGTGGATCAGAGCTTCCCTCCCCCACCCCGAGAGCCTGATTAAACATTTACCAGCACACCACTGCTGTCCCAAGACCCTGCACAAGTCACTGAACCTTGTTGAGCCTCGGTTTCCTTCTTTACCTTTCAGAGCTCTGATAAACAGTAACTACGATGGTGTGTGCAGAGCTTTGCCTCCCAGGGGAAGAAACGGAGCCGAATGTCAGCCATCTCCGCATTGCTTGGCCCCCTCACTCGGCCCACAGAATTCAGGGTTGGATACGTGTCTTTCATTAGATTCTTGGTGTGTGACATCAGAGTGAGATGTTCATCTGTGCGTCTCCCCTGCTCCCAAAGACTGTCCCCACACACAGCCCCTGGCATGAGATAGGTGTCCGCGCACTGCTGTAGAGTAAACGAATCAAGGAATACGTTTCTGGGGACACCATTGGGTCCACGGTTCTCACACTTTGATGTTTCTCAGACTCACCTGATAAACTTGGGGTACTGGTTAAAGATTGAGATTCCTGAGTCATACTTGGGGTTTCCAAATCAGCAGGTCGGGGGCTCTGCATTGTCAGTGGGCTCCTTAGGTCACTCCAATGAGGGTGATCTATGAGGATGCCTGAGGAGAACGCTCAATGAAAAGTGGGCCAGTGGACCGGCTAGATGTCTGCTCGGCCCCTGGGCACATCCTCCAACAACAGCCTGATGTTCTGGCCTGGAGGGACATGCTGAAGGGTCACCAGTGTGTGTAGGAAGCACAACGTCAAGTGCTGAGACCCTCATAGCGCTTCGGCATTTACAAAACACATCCAAACGTTATCACACTGTATTTAATCCCTGCAACAATGACAAGAAAAGGACACTGAAGCTCAAAGAGCATGCATGGGCGAGTTGGTAAGGGAGGGAGCAGGTATCGATAGCTCCCTAGATTGGCCCTTTCTGCACGCTACAAAGGGCTTCCATCACCTTCTCCAGCAGGGGTTCTTGGTCGGGAACTTGAAAGTATCTCAACTTCGCAACATTAAAATGATGTCAGTGACCATGTAACCAGGTCTAAGAGCAATAAGCTAGTGAATGTGCACACACACACACACATGCACACACATCATTTTGAAGATCATTTGCCTTCTGAATTCGTAAAGGCAACACTGAAAGGTTAAAATGCCAGAAAGACACTCAGAATATTTTAACTCAGTTTCCTAAAGAACATAATTCATTTTCTTCTGGTTGTGAACAATACTTCCTGCTCCTAGTGGGGCTGAAGGAGGACTGGTCTCCCTGGTGACCAAGTCCCCAGCCCCCGTGGCTTCAGCCAAGCTGGGCCTCACTGGATGTAGGTCCTGACAGAGCCCCAGACATCAGCAGGAAGGTCATAGTCACCAAAGAAGGGAGATGCCTGTTCCTGTCCAGGCCTGGATGCTGGGTCCCCACTGCCTCTTGTGAGTGAGCTCAAGCAGCTGGTACATCTGATTGAGGGACATGGGCTGTCAGTGCTTGGAGCCTGTCCTCAGGGGGCCACACTGTGGCCAGATCTGTATGTCTGCATACTTCTCTGAGCTGGAGAGAAGTGATGGGATGTTCATGACAGCGTTAACATGAGTCATTAAATACTGTAACTGGGCCCCATGGACATGCTCAAAAACAGAAGTGAGTCTCACCCCTTCAGATTGTTGAATATAGTTCTACGTGGAGGCAGGCACATGCACCCATGGTTGGGAATCATTCCTGCAACCCTCCAGCATAAGTATCAGGAGTCTATCTTGACAAGTGAAGGAGCCAAGACCCAGAAAGACCCACAATGTGTTCAAGGTCACTCCAGGTGGGCATCAATAGATAGGGCAGAATGAATTAAGATGGCAGAATCAGGATTGGAATCCTTATCTATTGGACGTTAAAACCCATGTTCTTTCCAACTGTGACACTTTATTTATCACACACAATTTGTCACATGTGAAAAAAAATTTTTTTTAAATGTGTCACATGTGTGCTTGAATACACACACACACACATACCACATATACTCACAATCAGATGTGGTCCTTTCCATGGCTATCTTTAAAAAGAGGTGAAAGATTTATATAAGCTGAACAGAAACTGGAATGTCACCACCACTCTGAGAGAGGTCTCACTGAAGTCTATGGCCACAGAGAGCACTTCCCTTTAGGGAGTCAGAGGATTCTGGATTTTTGCAAGTGGAGGAGGGCCTAGGAGCTGGTGGGAGAGAGTTAGTTAAGCAAATGCCTAGGGGCCACTCTGGTTCATATTTGTGGTTCTGAAGAGAAGATGAGTCTATAGAGTGGATGGAAAGAAAGGTGGTGGCAAATCCTGGATGTGAGCCCAATGCCAGGCTGAGGACAGAAAGGTCAGTCCCTTTCAGGTGATGACTTTCAGGACCTGGAGCATCCAGCCTTCCTGGGGATACATCCCTGCCAGCTCTCCACCTGAGCCCACCAGCAGGTCTCCATCTTCAAAGCACTTACACACCTACTAATTCATGTGACCCTGTAGAACCCTGGGGATTCTAGGAGAGACACAGAGACATTCTTGTTGCACAGATAAGGAAATAAATCCTAGAGCTTGGGGCACCTGGGTGGTTCAGTCGTTAAGCGTCTGCCTTTGGCTCAGGTCATGATCCCAGGGTCCTGGGATCGAGCCCCGCATCGGGCTCCCTGCTCCGCGGGAAGCCTGTTTCTCCCTCTCCCTCTCCCCCTGCTTGTGATCCTGCTCTCACTGTGTCTCTCTCTGTCAAATAAATAAATAAAATCTTAAAAAAAAAAAAATCCTAGCGCTAAAGTTCCTTGCCTAGGAACATGTGGCTGGTAAGTGGAAGACCAGGGCCTGGAACCCAGGATCCTGATTCACTATCCAGAGCCCTCTCTGTTGCTGGCTTCTGCCCACTCCTGGAGTGGTACCTCTGTGGTGATACCTCTCCAGGCAGGCTGTTTATGCATACTCCCTGGCCCAGCTGTCAAGCTGGGTAAGCAGAAGCAACTGAACAGAGTTTTCCAACAGGACCATCAGGCCTCTGGCTTACTTGCCTATTAGCAGGGAGGGGAGGAATTGGCTGTCTGGACAGGGTCTTTGCCACTCCTGAGTCTCCATGGCTGTCCCAGGCCCCACAGACCAGGCATAGAAGGAAGCGGACTCAGCAGAAAGAAGGAAGCCTACTGTCTGGCAGTCTTAGCTGATGATCTCCTGGGGGAGATGAGGTATCTCTGTCTGATGGGACTCATGATGCTAAGAACAATTTATCAAAGGTTTGTGATGATCCAGACATTCTGCCTATATAATCTCATTTGATCTTCACAGCAACTCTATATGAGAGAAGTTATAGTTACCACCATTATACAGATGAGGAAACTGAGGTTTAAAAATTTAATCAGTGTACCCAGGGTGTCAGTTAAGGAGGGAAGGGATGTGGACCCTATTCATGTAATCATTGAGACTCTGTTCTGCTGCCCAGATTTGGTCTCTTCTGATGATATTCATCAACCATCACTCCCATCCTGCCCTCCTCTGCCTTCTTTCCCAAGCTGGATCTTTGGGGTGAGTATCAGCTTGGTGGCGTAAGAAGTCTCTGTGTGACACATGTAAGCTTGAGAGTTCCTTGTGGGTCAGGCCTTCTGCTGAGCACTTTACATTCATTTCCCAACTTAGAGCTCATAGGATAGGAATCGCCATCCTACTTGTGGGTGAGATGACAGGGT